GAGGCTGTACTATCAGTTCACATGCATTTAGTTAATTTTATCACATGACTGTAGGTAAAGGGAACCTCACTAGGTTTACAGAAGAGTAAAATTAGTTGCTATGTATTTCAGACATAAAATATTATTTTTTAAAATGCTGTTATTGTAGCCAACTCTATTTCTTTGTCCCAAAGAGGAATTCTCCCTTTATACTGCAGTTTCAAGGCCTTATTCTGCAGCCACTGAACTATTTGGAGTTTGCCTGTGCAATGCCATGAGATGAACTTGTTCTGTGAGTGAATCACAGCAACATTCCATAGGACCTTCCCAGCTATCCACAAGGAGTAAAACCCTCAGGGCTGAACACAAGAGTCTCTACAGTTAGTGAATGGGACAGTTCCACCTCTGTGACCAAGTCCAGAGGGTCACAGAGTGCATCACCTCCAGGTTTAACCTCCAACTCCAGTTAAATTAGGAGTGCCCAATTTTTCACAGCTCCTTCATGTTCTTATCCTGGAGTAATTTTATGCCACAGAAGTATTTATAAATATAGACTGAAAAAATAATCCTATTAATCAGATGAAGGTGTTACTGACAAGACAATGAACAGGAACCCGTTGTGTGTCCTGCAGCTGACATTCATAGTGGTGTCACTGCATGCTCATTGTAATGTGAGGTAAAATATTGATTTATTATTATAGATAATAATGATGTGCATGATCCAGGTAAACTAGCAACATTTCAATAGATGACTGAAAATAAATTGTCTCCCTCATTTTCCATTAAATCTGTAAACATCTTTAGGTGCAACAAATTGTTCTGATGACCAAAACTGTTTTATATACATATTAAGAAATATATACAATCTTCAATATATATTTATTCATTGGCAAATTCCCAGACTGGTTCAATTCATTAAAATACAATTGGGAAATGAAAGCAATAATTTTTATCCAAGTACGTTCTTAAAGGAAGAAGTGGAGAGACAGAAAAGCATTTCTGCTCCTGAGAATGAGCCAGGCAGAATTATTCCATTCAGTCAATAATTTATGAGAAAACTCATCAAAGTCACCATTAATAGGACTGTGCCTTTAGTTTTAATTCTTCCTTGAGAGTGATATTTTCACTAGCACAGAGGACAGGATAAGATTAATGTATTGTTTCAGTCTCATTTAGACTTTACCAGACCTCCACTTCTCTCTTTACTGAAACAGAATTTACAACTGGTCTTCACCCATCTACATGGGAGTAAGATTTTTTCTAATCTGAAATCTATTGTAAGAACAATTCTAGAATACATTTACTTCTTTTAATTAACACAAAATATAACACTTTTTAATCAAGGTAATACTTAAAGGTCTGAAAACACTCCACATTTTCTGGAAACAGACTTTTTCCCTGAGGCCCTAGTTTTTCCTTCACTAGTTACCTTGTGCAGGACACAGGGTCTACCTGACTTTTTTTCCTCTTTTTTCTTAAAGTGCCTATATCAGATATGCTGGTGTAAATACTTTTATATAACAAAAGTAACAATTTCCTCAAACACGCATAAATCTGTTCAGAGCTGATATGTTCTTCCTGACTATACTTTCAAATCATGCTATAACCATATCAACTCCCTTGATAGTGCATTTATAGAGTTTTCCTTCAAACTTAACTTTGGGAAAATGGATTTTGAATTAAAGTAAGAAAAGGGAGAAAACTAATTTAAGGCTTCTGATAGAAATATAGGTAGAAATATACATTTCTACACAAAGACTTTTCACCATTGAGAGCTGCATTTAGTTATCTAAATATAATTTTTATGCATTTGATTGACTTAAAAATTTAAATTTTATGGGTTTGATTGATTTCCAGGTCAACAAAAATGCAGTACTTTGTAGTTATACATGGTATAAAAACTATTTTAAAAAGCATGAGTTATTTTCCATACATCAGTACTCAACAAGTAGCAGTACCTGGCACAATAATAGCAAAGCTGGCTTTGCAACTACCACGCAGTGCAGGGCCCCTTCCAGGTAATACTGTGGTGATAAAATCCACACCTAAAAAATTAGCACTGTTCTAGAAATTTTCCATAAATTGTGATGAAAGGTCCAATTTTGGAACAGTTCTCTCTGTGACTGGCATGGGTTGCCTGGAGAAGTTGTGGATGCTCCATCCTTGGAAGTGTTCAAGGCCAGGCTGGATGGGTCCTTGAGCACCCTGGTCTAGTGGAAGGTGTCCCTGATCAGGTCAGAGTGCCTGAAATAAAATGATCTTTCTAGTTTCTTCCAAATCAGGCCATTCCACAACTCAGTGATTCTATTCAATTATTTGTGTGAGCTTAATTTAGGGTATTTGGGAAGATATCAGAACAAGGATTCTGAAAGTGATATTTAATTTTTAAAGAACAGATAAAATTTGTAAAATGACTTTATACAAATTGCAAGTCTGCCCCTCATGAGTATTGAGAGTGATAGCAGCTCATTTTTGTGGCCAAAGAAATGGTTCTAACATTTAAATTTATTTTATGGAGCTAAACCAATTGCTTTTGGACTCTATTCTGACTCACTCCAGTGAGAGATAAACCAAGGTCTATCAACTTGTTTCCAGTAATAGTTCACCAATAAGTCAGACAACCAATTTTGACTTTCAAGTCACAATTTTGACTACTCAGAGAAGTCAGAAAAAGCAGGACTGTCAAGAATCAAAGTTTATATCCTTTACTACAAGTTTCAGAGACGTTTGAAACTTATTTACTCTGAGGGAAATTTAACATGTAGATATACATCTATATTGTGCTGTGGACATCATGGAAAAAGATAATACGTATCAAAATTGTTTCAGACTTACAAAATTATGTTTCAGGTAAAACCTCCTTACTAATGATTGCTACGTTTAGCCACAATATTTTTATTTTCTGCCACGGGGTTATATTTGTCCCATCTCTTCATTACCCCTATGCACAAAATTTTCAGCTTCTTATCAGTTTACCACTGTGTGAGTCTGAGGGTGCTGGACTTCTGAGATTATCAGAAATCATGTGAAGAACATTAAAGCAGCTAAAATAATATTCACATTTGTTACTTTGCTGTACTTTACATAGGCTTTTGGCAAGCTAATAGAACATTTAAAATACTGTGGTTCTTTGATATTTTTCTATCACTCTAGCAATATAAGGGTGGTGTTTATTACATCTTTATGGCTTCAGAAGGAGTATATTTGCTGTACAAATTAATATTACTGCAGAAATATTTTTCATATTAGCCAGGTCAGGAAACCTGAATTCCTCATTGTTCTATTTCAATACCTGACATGGATTTACCAGAAACCTAGCTGTTCTAGCCTGAACAGCATTGCTAAGAAATGCTAAGAGTAATGTGCATTTCAAGCCTAATGATAAAATAAGCTCATTGACTGTGCTTATGCACAGATCCCTAGTCTGATTTCGAGATAGTACAACCACATTGTCTAAATTACTATGATGCTCTGGAGTATAACCCAAATTGTAATCTGATCTGCACAGTCACTGTTACAATTTGTTACCTGGAAAAGCAGAAATCTAGTTAGAATTTGAACTGAGTTTAAAAATAAAGCGGAAAATTATCTTTTATTTTATGAACTGCAAATATGAAGTGTAGGTAAACTATTTATGGAATTAAGATGACCTGTCCTTGCCTGAAATGTGTGTGTGTGAGCTACCAGATCTTTTTTAGAGTCAGTGAAGGTACAGTTACTGAGTTCTGCTGATAGCTCCCCTGATCAATAAAGATATCTGTTTCAAAAGAAAAGGAATAATTTCCTAGGACTCTAAGAACTAGTGTGAGCATTTAGAAAATGGATTGTGTGCAAACGTCTACACTGGGTTCGTCCCAAATTAAGCAAGATAAATCCCTCTCTAGCTATCCAAAATTAGGTGTTTGAACTATTAATCAAAGCTGCTTTTAAAGTCAGTGAAAGGAGAGCAGCACCTCCACAAAGCAATTAATCTTATCCTTGGATGTGTGTTTATCATCACAGATGGAAGGAAACATATCTCCACTACAGGGAACCTTGAAGGCTGTCGTAGGTTAGACACCAGCAGTGGGTTTTGTTCGAGATTAGATGTAGACATGTGAGCTGAGTTTATCAGCTACCATTATAGTCAAAAGGGCTTCTTCTTTTGGCCTAGCATCATTTGAGATGATCTAGGATATCCTGTCTAGTGTTCAGTTGCCAGTACAGATGATCACAGGTCATATGCTATAATTTCCAGTCTGTCTCAAATGTGTAAGGTGTGCTAAAGTGCATCAAATGACATTTTATATAGATATTTTGGCAAATAAAAGAAATTCAATGAAAATTCAATCTTTTCTAAAGGAAGAATATTGTGTAAGGTAAATCTGTGAGAAATCAACCAATTACATTATCTACCATAAAATTAACCATGAAAGATGAAGCGAGTAGACTCAACGTATTCCAATTCTCAATGTATGTAAGTTTGAAGAACTTGTGAGGAAAGTCTCTAATGTTAATATTTGCTTTTACACAAATATTCTTCTCTCCAGTTTACAAATTGGATTCAAAGACACCATTATGGTCACAGAAATGCAATGTTTGGCTTACATGTGAAAAATAGAGCGTCTGTCTCACCCTCTGTTCAGACACAGAAGGGAGGAAAATACCACTCCAGAGCTTTGGTGAGCTCTGATGAACACATAGACTCACTACATCTTCAAAGAAATGAATCCTGATCTTGTATAAAGAATACTCCCGCTGAAGTAAAAAAATACCTCATTCATATGTCTGGAAGCAGGATTCAGCTCTGAGAACTAAAACAGCTTGCACCCACCTGCTGCTTTAATTCTGAAACACCTTTTCAATTAATATCTTGTATCAATCACTAATCCAGAGCAATGTGCTTTACTATGAAGACAGTATTCCAGTCATAAAGTGTGATCCAAGTGGAAACGCCCCAAAATCAAGCAGGAATGACCAGAACATTACAACTATGATCTTAGTTTTCTCCATGACAAACTCTTGCATTGACTATTACACATTTACAAGGTTTCAGTTTTCATTTGGTTATTGTTGTTTAAAGCCGGAGAAGGCTTGCTCTTCTGGCCATCAGTTCCTCCTTTGGATGTGTCTTGGAAGAAAAGCCTTGGCATCCACAGTGACATTAAAATTCGTTTATATTCATTCCGAAAATTCTGATTAAGAAGACCATATATTATTGCATTAAGGCAGCTGTTGAAATAGGCCATTAAGTAACTTATAATGAATAGCCATTCAGGAACTTTTGGTGCCATTTCCGTAGGATCAATGGCTACAGCCAGTCCAATGAAGTTTAGAGGTGCCCAGCAAAAGGCAAAAATCACAAAAACAACAAACATGGTAAGAAAGTTTCTGAAGTCACTTGGCTTCAATCTTGGCTTTGTTTCTGACTTTACTCGTCTTCGAACTTGAAGCACTAAAACCCAAATTCGAAGGTAGCAGAAGCTGACAATGGTGATAGGGACGATGAAGTGAATGACCACCACAGCTATTGTATAGTAGGAGCTTGCAGTTTGGACAAACGTGCATGAATAGATGCGTGGATCATACTTCAAAGAGCCAACAAAAAAATTTGGCACAGTTGCAATTACTGTTAATATCCAGACTAAGGAGACGTACAACATTGTATTCCAACAGCTGTACACTTTGTCATAGGCAAAACTGTGACATATGTAGCAATATCTGTTTATTGCAATTGCAGTGATGTTGAAAATAGAGCCTATTACACTTAGTCCCATCACAAAGCCACTGGCTTTACAATGCGTTTCACCCAGTGTCCATCCATTGCGGAAAATAGCTAAGAGCACCAGTGGGTATGGATACAAGGCCACCACCAGATCAGCCAAAGCTAGGCTCACCACAAATGCATTACCTGGAAGGAAAGAAAAATACAGAAGCATAAGTCTGAAAGCAAGCATAGCTGTGAAGAAGAAAAGTATTTCATTATGTTGGATGTCTGCAATGCTAAATTATTGGTGATGTCAGCAAGCAGCTGGTATATAGGACCAACAGGGAAATAATTTTACAGTGTAACTTGGAGCACCACGGAAATATCTGGAGCAACAGGTTGTTTCAAGTCTGTTGGTGACGGGATTATGTCCTCCTTGCTCTTTTTATCTTTAATAAACATAGCCATCAGTGAGCCGTTACATAAGCACATGTTGAGTTGTTTAAGTGTAGCTAACTCCATGGCTGTATTGATAAAATGAAAAAGAAAAAAAAGTCTGAATTGTGCCAGGTAAGTAAGCCATTATGCCATTCTATCCCATCACCGGAATGTTACTGGGCTTCACAAGCATAAAGGAGAAGGATATACAAAGACTAGGTCTATAGGTACTGGAAGGATGTGTTGTTTTAGGTATACTCTAAATTGCTGCACAATATTCTGTAGAATAGATATTTACTGCATGAATGGCCTACCCATACTGCTGTTATTTTCTTTTTGGATCGTCTAAGGAAGAGTGGATCATCTTCACCATCCTCTGCAGAAAGGCATATTTAATTATACAAAGAAAAGTTCCATGCATGCAAGAGGAAGTATTCATATTTTCTGATGATGATATTCAGGAATATAGGTGATATGGTTGAGCCCTATCTTCTCTCTTTAACCAGTGTCCTTTTCATCAGTTTGAAATTTCTGACATTGTATCTAAGGGTATTTTTATAAAATAGTGAGATAGTAAACTATATTCCTGAAAAATGTTCTTTAGGAACTTCACTCTAGAAGACAGAGGTACCAATGTTGAATTCTTGGCATTTAGGTAACATAAAATGTATACGATTTGTATGGTTTTGTATATGGCTTGCCTACTCTTTTTTCTTTCCTGGAAGTCCTTCACAACATGAACTGATATGGAAAAATTGAAGCAATTTTAAAAATTGGGCATGGAACATAATAATTTTTTGGAAGGAGTGGTTAGGTGCTCCATTCTACATCATCTGAGCTTACTAGTCCTCAACTAACAAGTTCTCCATGTCATATTAAGAATGGCATTAACTGGAAGTCGTAAAAGCAACAACTGTGTATAAATATGCTCATCAAAAATTACGGAATTTCACATCTACTCTGTTTTCTCCACCTGCTTTACATCTGTAGCTTCTTAAATTAAGGAATGGGGAGCTGTCTTTCTCCCATACACTTAGGAGACCATCATGCTCACCAGAATTTGCACAACAGCAAGTAAACTTAATGGAAAGCAGGATTATCCATCTGTACCCTCAGAAACATAGCCCATCTCAAGAGCAGTGCACAACTTATTTCAGATAGTTCCTTGTTATGCATTTAGTAGCCTGTTTCCTATATTTTGAAAAGTTACACAAGTCTTTCCATAGCTGCAGCTGGATGCTTTGTGAGGAAAGATTGAACAAATTAGGGAGATGATTGAGTGATGAGCCATGATAACTTCAAATGTCCCTATGATTGTTGTGATTCCAAGCAAGCTTCAGTCACAACAAGGAAGTTTCAAAACAGACACAGAGAAAAAAATTTTAATGGCAAGAAGAAGTGTGGGAACACCTTGCTTTGAGTCTGCCACTGAAGATTGTAAGAAAATAGAAAACAAGTATTTGTCAGTACTGGCCTAAATAAAGCTGATCCCTTTGTGCAGGAAGGATGAATGACTGTGAAGGCCTCTTGTAGCCATGTGGCAAACAGGGCAAAAAACGAAACTAACAAAAGAACAAGGGCATCTTTATCAGAATATATTTACATCCTGGCAACAAGAATTTCTCTTATGCTTTTTCATCACTGACATTAGAAGACAGAGAAGTCAGAAGTTGGAAGTCAGAAGAAAGGAAGGAAGAAAAAAGGACAGAAAAAGGAAGGAAAAAACGGACTCTTTTTTCTGTTTTAGAATGCCTTTTGGAGAAAGAGAGAATTTAGTCTAGTATGCTCACTATGATTAATCTAAACTCTAAGGCCTTCTAGCATGAGCTTCTACCCAAAATGTAATTGTTCAGTTGAAATAGAGCGGGCATTGAGCTCTTTCAATCACATTTGGAAATAAACTGTAAAGTACATTTAGCAAGATATTTTCAAAGTTTTGAGTACAATTTAGGACTTCTTGAAGATTCCAGGTGCAATGAATAAATAGAGTGAGCAAGGAACTTGTCAAAACCTTAATTTAATAGTTTACAACTCAGAAGAAAAATGGTCCAATATCTATAAAGGCCTCAGGTGATTTGTCACTTCTATGGCTTTTTACAGGGTTGAATGTTCCCACTGTGCACTGCAAAGTAAGCTCCAATGGTATTTTTCTGTCTTTGTGGATGACTACAGTATTAAGTTTAATGTTTATTACTGCAATGAATAATCTACAGAAGTAGAGAGAAACTTTTCTAATTCAAAAAACATAAATAATTGACATTTTGAGAAATAAAAGGTCTTAGACATTTTCTATGTGCTTGGAGAAAATAAAAGTTCCTTGACACACCTAACCCAGGGCTTTCAGAGTGGCCTAAATTACATTAATAATATAACTAAAGAGGTAACTTTTTGCTGCTTCTAACAAAATAGAAAGCACAGAATTTTCATCTAGCTGGAATTATTATCATTGCTTCTGGAATTTACTTGATGAACTTTGTTCTTAGATTTCAGTTTCATTAGAGAGAGAGGTATATTCATTTTTTCACTGGAGTGGAAACACCCCTTAATTACAAGAAGTAGCAACTGAAAGCAAAATGTCTCGCCAGGTATTCAAAACTATGCACATCTGTGCTGTTTTAAACAGTTCTATGCATTAAAAAGAAAATAAGTTCTGGTATTGAATTTGGGTGCAACAGAACTAGGTAGGTATTTCATGAAGCATTCCTGCATACTGGTTTACTTACTACAATGAACAGGAGAAAGAGAACTGTCACACCCTCTTGAAATCTTGACATGACTTGATGTTGTGGGAATTTACTTATGGAACAAACTTTTTGGTAAAGCCAAAACTTTAAAGGGCTAAGCATCTGCCTTTTGAAAAGACAACTGACTTTTAATTTCTCTACTAAAACCAAAAGCAATTGCAATGAGCAACTATTTTTAAAGGTTTTTCTTCTCTGGTTTTAAACTGGTGAAAATGCTTAATTATATATCACATATCATGGTGTTTGGTTGTTGTTTTTTTTTTAGGCAGTGTTTTGGTTGTTACACATTTGTTTAACAAGTTTTTATATGTTGCATACAGACATCATCCTCTTCAGTCTATGACATCAGGTGGAGCAGAGAATTAAGTCTTTCATACACTGACATTTGAATTCCCTGTGACAGTACAAGCCAAGACCTAGGGTAAGCTTTGATTTAATGAGACATGTTAATTTGGTATAATGTTCAACAGCGTGTTGCTAACAGAAGGTGTAACATAATGCTCCAAACAAATGCCAGATGGGTGTTTGTTTTCTTTGAATGTGACAGTTTAAAGGCAGTGATATGCTCTTTTGTGGTTATGTTTCATTATTTCAGATATTAGTGAGGTTTGATATAAGGGAAAGGGACAGGCAATAGATTTCCACCAGAACAACATATTTTACAGCTTCCTGCCCTCCAGCAGATCAACACTGCCATCCAATCTGGTGTTGTCTGCAAACAGACTGAAGGGGTACTCAATCCCCTGGTCCAGATCACTAATAAAGATATTAAACAAGACTGGCCTGAAGAAGAATGCCAGACTCACCAGGACAAAACCTTAGCATGTAAAAAAGACTTAGAGATTGTGGGTAAGTGACTTGCAGACTCCTGGACTGGAACAGAACTGTGTTCTTGGCCCTACATCCACAGCTATGAATTAGTGCTGGAAGCTACATTTGCAGAAGGTGAATTTTAGGCTTATTAGGCAGATCTCTCAGCTGTTGACACAGACACAGATTTACTGAAAGGAGGTATCTAAAATGCACCGTTGTTTTTGAGATCATGATTTTGGCATGCTTGGCAACTAGGCATGAATGTAACCCAAAACAAAACCTCCGCTTCTTCTCCCCTCTTCTTCTCCCTCTGGTTAAATATGGGAACACCAGTCCTTGCTGCGAGCTTGCTGCCTTGAGTTTGCCAATAGACGACAGGTGTAAAAGTGCTGAGTAAAAAGGCCTGAAGTTAATAATCCCTGGTTATTGACTTCAGTTTTGCTCGCCTGTGGCTCGCTCGGGTGCTGCTGGGGACGGTGGTGACACTCTGTTGCCACCTAGTGCGGGAGCCACGGCAGACGCAGCGCATCGCATCCCCTAGCAGGGCAGCAGGAAAACGCCTGGGGCTGGCCCTTCCAAAGCAAAACGCTGATCGTTAATCAGATACTACATTTACGGGGTGATAAATACTCTTCTGGGCTTCTGATACTTTCTGAGATTGCAGGAACTTTTCCACTACCGGGTATTTTCAGAAAGAAAAGGGTAAGCAGAAGGGGCAAGACAGGCTCTACTACTAGAAAATTTCACTGTTGCCTAGTAGTTAGGACACTTCCATGATAGAGGAACTCTTCTTTGAAAAAGACTTGAGTTTATGTCTCCCGTAGTCCCCAGAGAGTGCCCTACTCACCAGCCCTGCTGCTCTTCTGGGGTTAGGGTGCTTGTCTCTTTCTAGGTTATGTTCAAGAATTTCAGCCTAGAATCAGAATATACAGGTTACCACTTGTATTGTCGAGTGCTCTTTATCAGTATAGTCATCCAAAAAAAAGTTTAAAAATCCCTCTCATGATTTAACAGCAGGGAAACTGAGATAATTGCAAGAACTCTCCAAGACACTGATTAGGAAGAACACTCCAGGTTCATGAACCATGCTCTTACTTTTCTCTGTTAGATAATACCACCTCTGTTAGGCATCCTCTGGGAAAAGTGGCAGCACTGGTCCAGCTTTCTTCTCCCAAACAGCATCATAGTGGCATACTGATGCTGAGGGAT